CGATTTTTTGGTGTTTATTCTTACTAATCTGCGGAAATGCGCAAAATTGAGTGGTTTTGATAATACCTAGATCCACTTGAATTATCCTTTCGTAAAGTTGCCAGTAATTTTTGAAGCAGAAACATATTTTTTTCACTATATCAAATCTAAGGAGTCTCCAACATTGAGTTCCCTTTTCAACAATCAAAAGGGTGCGTGTTGTCGATGAATTCGGTGTTCGCGATGCGCCGTTGTGCTTCTGGAGTGTTCTGGGCACGTCTTACAGTCACATACGACTACTTCTGAAAAAAAAAGATTTATTGCAATAGTAATTTCAATGGCGTTAGGCCGTAAACGTCACCGCTGTTGTCAAACTCCTCAGTTCGTCGATCTGGCTTCTACCACTTCGATTCATAATCTTCGTCATTCACAGCATGAGCATCCTTCGCACACAACACAACCACAGACTCCACTATGCATTTTCAGTCTATCCTAGCGCATTTATTGCATGCTTTTTACTAGTGATCACTTACACTCTACACTTAAGAGTGGCTGGCATGTAACCAGCATGGATATCACAGCTCGCACGTTGTATGAAAATGATAATGTAGTGGCTTAAGGTATGATTCGTTACGTTACTGAATCAGATTTTTCTAGCCCATTCCTCCTGGACGATTCTACACGGTGATAGCTGCATTCTTTGTTATAGACTTAGTCATTATTTTATGTTGGATTGTGTTCGATCCGCTGCAGCGGATAGAGCAGCGGTTTCCTTTACTGGTAGGTGATTTAACAACTCATTTTCTGAAATACTTTAAACATTTTCTTTTTGAGGAACCACCAGCGGGTAGTGATGACGATGTCATGTTACTGCCAATTTTGGAGCTGTGCCAAAGTTCACATCAGGAAGTTTGGATAGGTGATTATAATTGGCAGTACTAAACATTTTCTTCACAGTTCAGAGCTATCCACATGCCATTGTCTCTAATCTATATATACTCTGTCATTAAATATCTTTAACCATCTGGTTTAGGTCTTGTACTTGGCTACAAGTGTCTGTTGTTAGTGTTTGGTTTGTTTCTGGCATACGAGTCGCGAAATCTCAAGCTACGCTATGTGAACGACTCCCGCCTTGTTGGTCTTGCTATCTACAATGTGGCGATACTCTCATTAGTAACGGGTCCTGTCACAACACTTCTTATCCGAAGCCAAGCAAACGCTAATTTTGCGTTTGTCGCCGCAACGGGTTAGCTTCCAACTCTTTTAACATACAATTTATTGAATTTTTATCCACTAAATCGTGTATTACACTGTATTTTGACATTTTACCGAAGAAGAACCTCCTGTCCTATGAATTAACTTCCTAAAATTAAATATAAAGTGATACAGCTGACTACTGCTTCAAAGAGAAAGTAAGAAGATCGCCATTGGTGATGATTTTTAAAAAATCTACACGATCTTGTCTATACTGCCAATTAGCAAGCATGTTTTGTGAAAATATCAGATTTTCTCCCTGTGAGGTCCCGAGAACCTAACTTGTTAAAATTCACATTTTAGTGTAAAAGCATAACTTTTCTCGTAGTTGATGATTCTCCACAAAATTGTTTGAATGAAAGCGAAGGCCTTTTACACACTGCCTCTTTTTATTTGTTACTGACTATGTCATCAAATGCAGACGATCAAAAATCACATAATTAATGTTTCGGCGAAGTCGATATACCAATACTCTGTGCCTGTACATCAGTACTGGCTCGTTTTTCTATAAAACATCCAGAATAACATGTTTCACTCTGGACATTAACATGTGGTGAACTTCTCCAATT